GAAATCTCTCCTATCTGTGTGTTTTGTATTTGTTCTTGGTCCTTTAAGACATGGACCATGCTACACTGATTTTACTGATAGTCTCTTGAACAAAGAGATGTTAGCTAAATAGGCCACCTATATAGGTATAAGCCTGTCGAAGAGAAAGAGGGTTTGCTATAATAAGAGTAATTGGCTATAATCAGCACTAAGTGATTTAATTTTAATAGACTGATATGAAGCAAAGTCTGAATCATTTATCTTCTCTTGCCTATCAAGATAATTCTCCTGTATATGTTAGGCTTTATTACTTAAGTAAACCAAGTCTTAAAGGAATTAGGGGTTGTGCCTGTTTGAAAGCCTTTTAAAAGATTACTTTGTAACTGGTTAAGTAAACAACATATTTTAGGTTATAACAATATAGTTGACACCCCAAATATGTGACTAGGCATATGTATGCATCTGAGAACTCTGTCTAAGCCTTGTCTAAGTGTTATGTAAAATTTATAAAATGAAAGTTTATGTAAGTTTACCAGCAAGATAACCAATAAGTGTTCTCCTTTATACATGGTATCTGACATAGAAGGGCCACATTATCATTTTGAAGACTTGTCATATCTGTTTACTCTGAATAACTCCATTTCTGATCATTAACACTGTTTCTTACATGTATAAGGATTTAAGGTTATTCTTTGATTTTTTTCTTAACCCATGCAGCCCTGTGATTATTGTTACCATACACTGTGGGTTCTAAACTGTACTTTAAAAGTTAAACTTAGTTAAGTGTAAAGCTTAGGGAAGAGCCCTTTACCTAGTTTGTATTCTCCAAACTAAAATTGCCTGTAGCAATAATCTTGGATTAGTATAGAAATAACAAATCTGGTTGATATTTATTCATGTCATTTGATGTTTTATAGCCGGATAAAGTATCCTGTTGGGTCAATAAGTTATATATATAATTTTGTGTGTCACTTTTCACTCTGGAATAGGTATGTAAATGTATTTTTGGAAGGTAATAAGGAGAGTCTAATCAGTTTAAAGGTGACATTGTGATGCATGAGAGCATTTTGCCACTTTTTCCACAAAAAGAAAGTTGAAGGCTAAAAAGAAAAGAGTTATTTATTTTCTCTCCCTACTCCCCTCTCCTAATAACCAACAATAAGAATACTCCTGTTACTGTGTGCCCACTCTAAGCTGTCGCTATTATACATATATTATCCCCTTTCATTATCACAGTAATCATATGAAGTAGGTGCTGTCATTTTCATGTGAAGAAATAGAGGTAGAGCATTTCTAGAGCTTTGTCAGGGTCTGTGTGACACAGTGATAGGTAGTAGAGAATTCCAGCTCTGTCCATCTGACTCCCATTTGAAAAGCACTCGCCATGTGCTAAGTATTGGCAAGTGTCTTCCCACCATGATTTCAAATCGTCCCCCGACCCCAGGACATAAACCCCATTTAATATTGAATCTGAGATGAAAAAGGAAGCCATTGATGTATTCTAGATAAAACCACACTGAGATTTTTGTCATGTTCTTAAAGGCAGAGGCAAATTATTATTATTATTTTTTTCATCCTGGAGATGGATGATAAAGTTGACCAGATAATGGAAACACAAAAGAATGTTTCTCCCAGTTCCTCAGGATAAGAAAGATCTCAATTTACCAACCATGTCTGTTTCTTGGTGGAAGATACCAGGATTGGAAACGGGAAAATGCTCCAGAGAGGCAGAACATCATTAGGAAAGTTGAACAGGTGAAACCAGCTTAAATAAAACCAGGGCTCAAGTATTATTCCTGCCCTATAGGGCCTCTGGGACCCTGGACATGTTACAGAATCTCTGCAGCATCCACTTCTTCGTATAGGAATCATGACCAACCATGCATGTTACTGCAGATGCCCAAAGTCTGAGATTCATTCTTTTTTTTTTCTTGTCATCTTTAATTCCCTATCAAAACCAACAGCAAGTCCTTCTAATGGTAACTCAAAAACATGCTCTATGTGCACGCACCCCTCTCCACCTGCATTCCCTTGACTCTTGTCAGAGCCGCCATCTTACTTGCTTAGACTATAGCAGCAGCCTCCTGGCTGGAGACCCATTACCTATTCTTTTTTTAATTTGCATTTATTCATTTATTTATTTTTTGTATGTGATGCTAGGGATTGAACCCAGGGCCTTGTGCATGCAAAGCAAGCTTTCTACCATCTGAGCTATGTCCCCAGCCCCCTTACCCATCCTTGACTCCTTTTAAAATCTCTTCTCCCAAGAACTGCCACAGTAGGCCTTGTAAATCTAGCCATTTCTTTTTCTGAATGTTTTACTCTCCAATTTTATTTCAAAATCACATATTCAATAAAATTAGTTATCAATCGGATCATGTCTCTTTCCCCTTAAAATTGGGGGAAGACTTCCCATTGCACTTAGAATAGAATTTGACCTCATTATACGGATCTTAAAAGTATTTCCTGTTATGCCTTCTGCCTGTGTCTCTGACCTCATTCTTGATCACACTTCTCACTCTATAACCTGCCACACCAGCCTCCTAGCTGTTCCTTGAAGCCATCGGCCACCAGTAGGTGCCTTCTGCCTGACAGTCCTCTCCCAAAGCTGGCTCCATCCCCTCTTCTGACCTCAAAATGTCACCCCTAGTAACACCATCCTCTTGCCCTGTTCTATTTTTTTGTCTTATGTCACCATATGAAATCCTTTTAGCCATTTAATTGACATTTGGCTTATTGTCTTTTGCCTTTCTGTCATGAGCATGTAAAGTCCTTGACAGCAGTGACCTTGTCTGACATGTTCACATTATAGCCACACCTGCAAGATGCTCCTTAAGTCCCTGTTGGATGAATGAATGAATGAACCAGAGGTTGGTTATGAGACTAAGGAGGACAGCAAGTATCAAGGACCCAGATTGACAAGAGATTCAACTCCATGAAGTCATTTTGAGAAGTTGATGGAGGGACTCTCTGCCATTCGATGATGTCCCCCTCTCCACTCATGGCGTAGAGTGATTATCAGCTTCTCCCGTGACCTAAACCAGACGTGTCTGGGTCACTTCCACCTGAAGTTTGCTGCCCAAACTTAGAGTCCAGTGGCCCCAGGCTAACTAGAGGAGAAGCTGCACATCAGAGAAACAAAAAAGAGATCTTCCAAGAGTTCTGTGTCCACGGTCCACCTGTACCGCAGTCTGGCTGGGCACAATCCAGGAGCCACTTGTCCAAAAAAACGAACTTTATTTTTAGAACACACACACACACACACACACACACACACACACACACACACACAC